TTTTTTTTTTATAAAAATTTGAGTTATGACAAACACTCCATACATACATACCCCCAAATAACAAAGTTCTAAGCCTTTACATACCATAAATAAAAACTTTAACAGAGGCTTTTTATTCTTTTATATATATATATATATAAATGACAGCAACTCTATATGAAAAGGCACAGATGAATTAAGGCATCTAGGACACCACAAACTTTTCAAAGTCTAAGTTGCTGTGAGAAAGCACCACTTCAAAGGAACCACCAAAATGGTAAAAATAAAAAGGACAAAAGGAATAGTTCGTTCTCATTAAGTAATACACAGACGCTTCAATTGAGGCACCAACCGTTTTATTTTCAGTTTTCATGCTCAAATTTGAAGAATGGGAATTGAGATATTAGAAAAGAAGATAATAAATTATTCATCTTATTGCAAATATGCTTGTGGATCATAAAGATTCAACATAAACACTAAAAATAAGTAACTTGATGAATGCATTGCACTCCTTGAAAACAACTCGATGTTCAAAACCACATACAGTAAATACAATAAATACAGTAAACCAATACTCCTAATTCTGTCTCCTTATTAAATAATTCCTTATAAATATATCAAGAAAACTCCTTGAACTCTTTTTTTTTTATGCCAATGGTATAAAAATATAGCTAATGGTGCAAATTAAGAAGTGTTTATCTATGCATTGAAGTATGAATCTATTTAGTGTGTTTCTCTAAAAGCATTAGATAGAGAGAGAAAGAAACCTCACAAACTACCGTGCCAACAAAATCACCTTGGTCATCATCCAACATTCCAACAGGCAATTCTAGAACAATCCGCCCAGTTGGGACTCTAGTCTTAGACAAAAATGAAATCTAATCATTTATGGGTGAGTATCAGTAGAAAATAGGTCAACAATTCAACCCTCTGCTCATTTGTAACATATTAGATCAAATGCCAAAGAATTCAAGCATGACATAATAGGTAAGACCAATAAAAAGTAACTCTACCTGTTCAATAAGAACAACATAAATCTCACCCTTAGATTCCGAAAAAATTAGCACAGCTAAAATTGGTCCTTGAGTGAAAACAACACCTGGAACCTAAGCATGTGTTTCAATTGATTATAAGAGAGATAGTACGGGTTCATCAAATAAAAGAAACAAAATAAAGAGATAGTTAATAACAATAAAAATTATGGCTATAGAATGGAAGAGTAAGAGAAAATGCAAAGATAATTAAGTTTCAAAAAAATTGAACCAAAAGCAGCGGAAAAAAAATGATTACGAGTAATTTACCTAAGTCCTTCTTCCCATTCCAAGTCCCACGTTGCCGCCCTTCTTTCTGTTTTCACAAGTTATAAAACCAATTAGCTTTTCAAAATTAAATTGCTTCACCATTACCACTACTGGTAGTCAAATAAATACCTGAAGCAAGTTCATTATCTCCATTCCTGATCTTGATTCCTTCTTCTTCTCCATCAGAACTTGGTTAAGCCTCTCCTGCAAGAGAAACACACATCATCAAAACTGTATGATCCCATTCTCTGATCATAATCAGAATAGATTCTTTTTAAGTTTTCAAAAACCATGGAGAAAAGATCCTACCTGCAACTTTATGTACTCCTTCTCTTTTTTCTTCATTTCATGTATCTATTGGGTTCTCACTTGCTTTTTCAGAATCGACACATAATTAACAATAGTTAGTACCAGTACATTGTTTATAATTAGCCACAAAAATAAAGCAATCATACTTCCAAGTTAAAAAATCTGCTTACCTGATTACCAATCACCATCCTCTGAAACTCATCCCTTTCCTGTTGTAGCTTCTCAATTTGCGCCTTAAAAGCTGTTGTATTTTTGGCTTCCTAATCACATTTATTTTAACAAGTGGTCCTTAATTCAAACACGAATGTCAACTAAAAAGAATCTCACTTAACAAAACCAAGAGATACCAACCGTTCTCGTAATTGTTGCTATTTCTCTATCTTTAGTTTGCAACTGTGACTCAAGCCTCTAAACTTTTGCCTCTAGTCTTGATATATCTGATAGTAATCTACACAAAGGATATGCAACCAAAAAATTATTTTAGAAAAAATATTCACTCCACTTCAATGTTCATTTAATAATAGCATTTAACATCAAATGCTAATATCATGTTAAGATGTAGAAATATCAAAAACAGAACTACTCCCTCGAATTGAGCAAATAAATAACATAAAATAGAAAATACCTTTGTCGTTGTTCATTTGCAGACTCTCTAAATTCAATATCGCGTTGTCGCTGCTGCAACAGAGAATATAGGCAATTACAAGTCCTCGCGATCGAAATCTACAAAGAACAAAAAAATGCCAATCGCATTAGCAGAAATATTTAGAAAAAAAAATTCAAGGAGAAGAAAAAGGAAAAGAGAAAAAAATTCAACGCAACAGCGTGATATTGAGGCAAATCCCTAACCTAAGTATCAACAAGAAGAAGTCTAAGATCTATTTTTGATGCAAAAATGCAATACCTTGCAAGAAGAAGTCCTAATTGTAAATGACCCAGAAAATAATACAAAACCACATAATAATATTGTTAAACCAGAAACAATCATATTAGACACGCATGATCAGTAATGAAATTAAAAGGTTGCATCAGCTGCTGCACAGATATCTGAAAGCAAAATGAAACATATACAATTAACTACTCAAATAGGATCAGACCTTGCATTTTGGCTAGGTACATCACAAAGTGTGCACCCATTTCCGGTGTGATTAAATATGTTTCCAATGTATTAGTCTTGCCATATAAATTAAGATCACCATACCACAAAAAAAATGCCCAACATTCCAAATAAATCAAAATGCAAACTTTCAAGTACCATTCACGCAGAGGACTGAATACATGACTCTCTGGTGTAATTATTGCGTGGTCCCTTTCGTAAACACTTCGAGTAAAACTAGGCAAATCCACACACAGGAAAAAGAGCAAACTGAACTCCAACTAAACATCGTTTTATTAGGTATTAAAAGAACTTTAAAAAATAATCAAGGGTCTCCAGAATTTTGAATCCAAGTTTATGTTTCAAAACACTCAATCATCAAAGTGAACTGCAAAGACTGACCTTGGAGATAAGAAGGTGATAGAGTGGGGTTGGTAACTTTCCAGTACAGTGGTTTGGAGGTAGCTTCGTTTTCGATTATCAAAGACGCAAAACAGGACCCAACATCGCCCAGTACTGATGAAAAATTGAAATAAAGAGAGAAAAAAAAGTACATAGAGTGAGTGATAGGAGGGGGAAAGAGCGTGACGGGGAGGACGAAGCAGTTTTCATATTCCTAGATTTGAATGGAATCCAGGTGAGGAAGCTGGTACTCCGACGAAGCCTATTACTATGGCCGGAGTGGAAGGAGATTCGGCAGCAATGAGGAAGATAGGGTTTCAGTTTGTGGTGGAGAAGCCGAAAAGATGAGATTTAGACTTTTTGGTGAAAAATGGTCCAGGTAAAAATAAAAAGGGAAATAAATAAGTAAAACACAATTTTTTTTTT